AAATTACAAATTGGCATTCAACAAAATTGAAAGCATTTGATCTATGAAGAACATGGTTAGGAGAATAAAAAACAAGCCACTGACTTGGAGAAAATATTTGCAGAACATATATCTGATAAAGGACTTATATACATAATATTTAAAATGCTCTAAAAACTCATAAATAGAATTAAAAAATCAATGTGAAAAAAATAAGCAAAGTCTATTCACAATAGCAAAAATATGGAACCATCCATGTTGCCCATCGAAGCTGAACTGGGTAAAAAAAATGTGGTACATATACACAATGGAATATTATGCAGCCATAAAGAAAGATAAACATATAGACTTCGCAGCAATTTGGATATATTTAGAGTCGATCATACTCAGTGATCTATCACAGAAACAAAGAACAGAGTACTTTATGTTTTCACTCATAAGTGGACCTTGAACAATTATAATACTATAAGAAAGGGATTGGCAGTGGTGGGAAACTGTCAGGGGAGTGGGGTGGGATTGGCAATTGAGGGAAACTGCTAGGGAAAGGAGGGGCATACCTCATCAACAAGGGTACCTGCATAATCAACATTTTTATACCTAACCTTGAATTGTACCCCACATCTTTATGATAAAATTTTTTTTTTAAATAAGCAAAGAGTTTGAATGCATAACTCATCAAAGAAGATATACAGGTGGCAAATAAGCACAAGAAAAGGTACTCTACATACTAGCCATTAAAAAATTTCAAATTAAAACTGTAAGATTCCATTCTACCCATACTAGAATGAGTAAAATAAAAAATATATTGTGGCGATACCAAGCACTGACAAGAATGAGGAAAAATCAAAATTCTCACACATTTCTATTAGAAATGTAAAATAGTAAAGCCACTCTGAAAATCAGTTTGGCAGCTTTTCTTTTCCATTTATTTATTTATTCTTTTCTCTCTCTCTCTTTTTTTTTTTTTTTTTTTTTTTTGAGACAAAGTCTTGCTCTGCTACCCAGGCTGGAGTGCAGTGGCATTATTATGGCTCACTGCATCCTCAAACTTCTGGCTCAAGATCCTCCTACCTCTGCCTCCTAAACAGCTGGGACCACAGGCATGCACCAACATGCCTGGCTCAGTTTTTTTTTTGTTGTTGTTGTTTTTTTTAGTTTTTTGTAGAGACAGGATCTTGCTATGTTGCCCAAGCTGGTCTCAAATTCCTGGGCTCAAGCAGTCCTCCTGCCTCAGCCTCCCAAAGTGCTAGGATTACAGATGTGAGCCACCACATCCAGATAGTGTGGCAGTTTCTTATAAAGTTAAATACTTACCATATGACCCAGTAACATCACTAGTGAATATTTCCTCTAGAGAAATGAAAACGTGTTCACACAAAAATTTGTATATGAATGTGCACTTTTATTTGTAATAACCTCAAATTGGAAAACAATACAAATGTCCTTCAATGGGTGAATGGGTAAACAAACTATACTATTCAACAATAAAAAATAATAAACTATTCATATTTGCAGTAACATAGATGAACCACCAATGCATTATGCTAAATGAAAAATATAGTTTTAAGAGACCACATACTATATTATTCCATTTGTGTGACATTTTGGGAAAGGCAGAAATACAGGGAGCAAAAATACATCAGTGGTTGCCAGGGGTAAGAGTGAGGGAAGGTTCTGCATTCTATCTGTAATAATGGTTACAAGCTTCCATGCATGTGTAAAAACTCACAGAACTGTACACCAAGCAAAAGTTGATGCTGTATTTAAATTTAAAAATTAAAGCAATAAAAAACCTTCTTTCACATTTCTCTCAAATGTGAGACAAATGTGTACAAAGATGTACACTCTCCTTCTCTCTACTACCAAAAGTCTCCTTAAAACAGTGTCTTCCCAAACTTTGCTAGGTTTTCTTCTGGCCATCACCCTACTTATTTTTTTTTTAATTAAATCTATCCATGCCTTGGCTAAAGACCAGACATATGCTGATAACTACTGAATATGTGTCTCCAGTCCATAATTCTTTCCTGAGCTCCAGACCCAAGTAAACAAGTGCCTTTCAACTTGACCACTCTCCCAAAAAAGGCGCATTTCCTGTTTTGCTCTCTATCCTTCTCCCCCACCTACATCTGACTAATCACCAAGGTATGTTGATTATAATTCCTAAATATCTCTGGAAGCTGTGCGTTTTCTCTATTCTAATTATCATGACCTCTAAATCATGTGTCACCTGTATTACTGCAATAACCTATTAACTGGGCTCCCTACCTCCAATATTGTACTCCTTCCACTCCATTCTCCATATTGCAACTAGAATGGTGAAAAACTCAAGTTTGTTCATGGCTCTTCAGTTTTCCTGAGCATAGTCTGAACTCCTAAACATGGTTTATAAGCCTTTTCATCATCTGTCTATAAACTCATCCCTCCAGGCTTATCTCATAATTCTCAACTCTAAAGTTTCCTCTCTATCAGTCCTATCCCCACATTCTATGTTTGAACCACACTCCACTTCTTTCAGTCCCTCAAACATGCCCCTGCTGTTTTCCATGACTGGGATGATTCCTCAACAATCTTCTATCTCCTCTACCCCAGCCCCCTTCAGCTGGCTAGATAATATTTATCCTCCTGGTTTTAGCTTGCACATTACTTATTCAGGGTATCACTGACTGACCCCATAGCTTATCTATATGTCTCTTCTGAGTGCTACCATAATACTGTCATAAGAGACTATTATTCTGTGTTGTAATAGTCTATTTACTTGTCTATCTCCCATAATAGATTGTAAGCACCTTGAGGGTAGTGATATGTCTTGTTCACATTTCAGTACCTGCTGCTAGCAACTGCCTGGCACATAGTAAGTATTCAATAAATATTTCGTAAATGAATAAGAAAGCGGGGCCATGGAAAACAGTCTCTGAGATTATAGGTCTTTTTTATCACTTTCTACATTTTCCAAGTATTCTATGATAAACATGCTTTGCTTTTATCATCAGAAAATAATACTACATAGTAGAATTAGTTTTAAAACTATATTTGCTAGATGTGATGACACATGCCTATAATCCCAGGTATTCAGGAAGCTGAGGTGAAAGGATTGCTTGAGCCCAGGAGTTTGAGGCCATACTAAACAACATAGTGAGTCCCCATATTTATTTTTAAAATATATTGAACATACTCATAATAGAAAAGAAAAAATCTATGAAGAAAATTTAAATCACCCATAATTCTAACACCTCATGGTAATTCTTGTTAACATCTTGTTCTATCCATTTCATTATTATCTATGAATATATATTTCAAACATTGATACCTTATTGTGTTCTGTTTTGAATTCTGCTTTCTTCACTAATCCCAAAAGTAATTTCCCTTCATTTCAAAGTACTGTTGTTTATTCAATCATTTGTCTTTTTTTTTTTCTTTTAAAGATGTGGGGTACAATTCAGGATTAGGTATACAAGTGGTCTTCGTACAGGTAGTTTGAGCCTCCCTTTGGTTCCCACTTTGCCTGGTTTGAGGTCAGGTACCCTTATTGATGTTGTGCACTCCCCCACCCCCACCCCAGCAATATCCCGCCACTGCCAATCCCTTTCTTATTGTATTATGGTAAATGTTCAGGGTCTGCTTATGAGTGAGAACATGTAGTACTCTGTTCTTTGTTTCTGTGATAGATCACTCAGTATAATAGACTCTAAATCCATGCATGTTGCTGCTGAATCCATATGTTTGTCCTTTTTGGTTGTGTAATATTCCATTGTGTATATGTACCACATTTTTTTATCTAGTCCAGTTTTGATGGGCAACACAGTTGGTTCCATGTTTTTGATATTGTGAACAGTGCTACAATAAACACGTGTGTGCAGGTATCTTTTTTATAGAACGGTTTGAGTTCCTCTGGGTATATTCCTAGTAGGCAGATTGCTGGGTCATATGGAAGGTCAATTTCTAGTTATTTTGGAAATTGCCACACTATTTTCCGAAGAGGTTGCACTAGTTTGCATTCCCACCAGCAGTGTAGAAGCATTCCTTTTTCTCTGTATCCTCACCAGCATCTGTTGTTTGTTTTATTAATGATGGCCATTCTTACTGGGGTTAGTGGTATCTCAGTGTGGTTTTAATTTGCATTTCTCTGATGATGAATGAGGCTGAGCACTCTTTCATGTGTCTGTTGGCTCCCCATATATCTTCTTTTGAGAAGTGTCTATTAATGTCTTTTGCCCGCTTTTTAATGGGGCTGTTTGCTTTTTTTCCTTTCGGTACATTTGAGTTCTTTGTGGATCCTATTCAATCATTTCTATGCTGTCCAACGTTAATATTTTATACAATTTTAACCATTAGGAATATGGTTGTGAATAATATCATTGAGCATGAATTTTTCTCCTCATTTATAATCATTTCCATAGGATAGAATTCTAGAAGCAAAATTACTGGTATGAATTTTTTGAAGGCTTAATGTATATGGTCAAATGCTTTTCAGAAAGCTTATGCACAATAGATACTTGAGAGCCCACTATATGCCAAATATTTCCTCAGGCAGATTTTATTATGCCTATTTTACAGATGAGGAAACTGAGGTCCATTGACATTATTTGCCCAGAGTCACAGAGACAGTATGAAGCAAAGCTAGAATTTAAATTCAGAATTGCCCTAATTTCAAAGCTCATGTTTTTTCCATGTGGATTTCAAAAATAAATCTTTTTGAATTATCAACTTATTTATTTACTAAAGAAAACATGGATGATGCAAGTAGAAAGTAGAGAAAATTAAAATAAATTACTCATAAATCCACCACTTACAACAGGTTAGTGTATTTTCTCTGTCCTTTTTTCCAAATACAATTTGGGGATTAGAGATAACTATAGTATTGTATATATAATTTATCATCCTGCCTTTTTCATTTAACATTTTTCAATGCTGATCTATACTCTTCATAAATGTAATTTTAATGGTTGCGTGTTATTGTCAAATGGATGTGAATATTTACAATTGTTCAGCACACTGGTGAATGTTTTTCTCTTCATTCCCAGGACTCACCATCTCCCATGAGGTTTACCGAGTTCAATATTGAGAACCATTCTAATCTTCAAAATAAGTCACCATGTTGGATTGAAAACTTCACAATTTGAAAGCATTCCATCAAATACTTGCTGGGCAAATATTTCAAAACTTTATATTATTTAAATTACTGACTGAACTCCAATTTGGAATTTGGTAACTGATAATTCAAGCTAGTTTTCCTCTCTTTCTTCATTTCCCCTCCCCAAATCCATGAAAGACTAAATGTTAAATACATACTTTTTTATTCTTCTTATCAGGAAAAGGGGAATTCAGAAGACTTGCTTGGAGTATTTAATTCCCCTAGAAAGACTACTAGTTATATCTATAGGATCTTTTTTATGTTGAGGGGAATCAGACTACGTTTGCTGCCTGTGTGCATATGCATTTTATAAACATGTACACGTGCAGCATATCTATACAATATTCTGTTATAGTGTTGTGAAAATCATGTTTTAAAATCTGAGGTTTTTATTTAATCTTGTTTTTCTCGAAATAGCAATTTAAATATTTGCTGAGCTTTGAACTATCCCTATATCAGGTATCTAAAATTTCAGAGGGTAACTTAGTACACTGTGACCAAGGTTTTCAAACTGGGAATTGAGCAACAATGTAAAACCTGTTCTCTGTCACAGAGGTTCCTGAAAGCACTACAGATAGTCAAGAAGATCAGATCAGGACTTCTACTCTATTAAACATAACAATTCATGTTTTAAAGACTTTTAATGCCAGGCTGTGGTACAATTCTCCAATCACTTTTATTCAGTTATCTGCTACCTAACTTTATTTTAGCCCTTGTAAATTACTTTCATGAAGAAAGAAAATCTGTAAGCCCAAGTTATGGACTGTAGGTTTTGTTAAGGGTGTTTAGGGTGATTTTCAGGTTTAATTGCAATACTGTTCATAAGGGCAGAGTTTCACAGCTGACATTAGCCTAAGGATTAGCACTTAAGATCTGTATTTTCACAGTAGGGGTTAATGTACAGATAGTGATAACTGAATAGTAATATGCCAATCCTTCCTTTTTTTTTAAGCTTCAGTGGTAACTCAGCCATAAAGATAACATATCCGTTTTCCCATTTATTTATAATCAGCCTTTCTTTCAGTCCTAGTGCCTGAATCAATGAGTATGAATACTAATACGCCTTCTTTATAATAATACCTACAAGTATTCATGTTTTTCATTTTTCAACCAGTGCTCTAGCACCCAGCTACAGACAATAAAAGCCCAAACTCTTACAAAAATCAGTAGGAGCTAGGACCATCTTACAGTTATCAAGGAATTTAGCTTCTAGAGGGATGCTTAGGTTTACTAACTTATCCCCCCTGAAATTGTTTTAAGTAAAAAAGAATTGCCTGCCACAAACAACTCAGGATCGGAGATAAGAATGTGACTAATTCAGCTGCTTAAAGCAACAAAAAAACCTGTTTATTTGGATCCTCTAGTAATTTTGATCAAGGTATGATTTTTAGTATAAATTAAATGGATTATGGTCAGCATTTCATTTAGAGAATACTAGACATGACTAAATTTATTAGGACCAGGGTGGTTTCACAAACTCAGAAGCTAAAAAGCAACCTAGGAGACTATGCACACTGAGTTTCACAATAAAATCTTATATGTTCCAATGGAAAAAGTTTCCCCTTCCACCCTTTCTTCAAAATACTCTCATTTAGGTTTTTCTTGAAAGCTTATTTGGCTATCCACATGGTCGTGTGATGGACAAGTTTTACCTTCTATTCATATAGAATTGCAACTTTCTCTAAATGTAGGGCCATTAAGTAACTTACTGCACAGCCAGTAGGCTTCATAGCAATCTTCCTGTTTCCCATCTATCATCTTCTGCCAAGTGTTTAGGCAGAGCAGCTGCTAACTATGATTCAAAGTCAGGAAGATATCAAAAATTTCTTTGACACTTAGAGTGTATCAGCACTCAGCTCCCACAGAAATCAGATCACAAAAGATAGTACTAGTAAACTACAGGGAAGAACAGGAAGGGTAAAGCTCAGGAGAGCTATAATGCAAAACTGATTGTTCATTGTCTTACAGACTTACACTGTCTTCAAAAAGCAAAATAAATCAGGATTTTACCTAGGGACTTGGAGAAAAAAAGGAATCCTATTCCTATCTTAGCACCTTGATCTTATTGGTTTATTGACTCTAATAATATCCCTATCCATGGATCATTCTGAGTACTGACTAATGTACACAGGCATCCAATTGGTTGGTTTAATAATTAGCACACCTTGATCTGGCTGTTTTGTTTGCTTTTTCTTGGTGCCCTGTCCAATAACTTCTGTGGGATCTCATTCCCCAATCTTTGGTATTCATCTTCCTATTTGCAAAAAGAAGATACTCATTGTTAGAATCCTATAGCTGAAAGGTGCTATGTAACTCTCTAGTGCTCTTATATATGTTTATTTGCAGGACTAGAATGAAAAATTTACCTATAACAGTATTTCAAAGCAAAATAGTGTGTTCCATTATTTCTTCTATGCTCTCATTGCTGATTTGATCTTGCAGAGCTTAGAGTGCTTTGTTAATGTTCTTCTATTTGTTCCAACAATGTCCTCAGAAAGAGATAGAATAAAAGTTATTTTCTCTATGGTACAGCTGGAAAAATTAAGGGTAAAAGAAACTAAGTGTCCTTCAAAAGCACATATCTGTCTTGGGCAGAGCTCACAGTTCCATGTCCAGTACACTGTCAGAGTGACTTGGCATCCCAGTACTGGAATTACCATGGAGCAGCTTAGAACATTAAAAGTAATTAGGATCGAATCACATTCCAAAAGAGTTACACTTTGTCAAAAATCGTAAAATATGCAGTTTATACAGTTCTTATTTTCTGTGTGATAGAAATGCAATATGTGCCTCTTTCCCCCACTGGCTCCTTATGACACATATCTTTCAGACCATGTGGCACCAACCAGTGTCATCTCCTGTGGCACCCATACAGCCCAATGTCAGGGCTGACTTTGCCAGGGAAAAGAATATGCTTTCCCATGTTTATGCCAAATTGCACAAAGTGTAGACATTGAGGTTAATGAAGATTTAAGTACAATTGTAGCAGGTAAGTTTTAAGAATATTGAATGTACATTATTGTAACATGAACCTGAAATTTAACAAGGCCCAAATTCACAGGACTGTAACAGCTATTAAAAACCTATTCTTTTATCCTTTTCACCTCCCATTACACATACCTCTCATCACACATATCTACATATGCGCGCGTGCGCGCGCGCGCACACACACACACACACACACACACACACACACACACACACTTTCCCCAAAGCAGGCTGCCTGGTGATCAGGAACAAATACTTTTAAAAAATGATTCTCTGACCTGTCCTTTTAGAAAAAAAAAAGTTTAACAATCACAGCAAGTGAAGAGCATTCCATTTATACATTCTATTTTTTTTTTTTTTTTTTGAGTTGGAGTCTCACTCTGTCGCCTAGACTGGAGTGCAGTGGCACGCTCCCGGCCACCACAGCCTCGACCTGCTGGGCTCCGGCGATCCTTATGCCTCACAGCCTTCCAAGTAGCTGGAACTACAGGCGCACGCTACCACGCCCAGCTAATTTTTTGATTTATTGTAGAGATGAGGTCTCGCCAAGTTGCCCAGGCAGGTCTCGAACCCGCGGGCTCAGGCAATCCACTCACCTCAGCTCCCAAAGCGTGGGATTACAGGCTGAGCCACCAAGCCCGGCCATTTATACATTCTAGAACCTCTGTTCTCAGCGTAGCTAAGAGACTCAGTGCAAAAGACGTGTTCTGTGCAGAGGTACAGAGGGCATCTAACAAGATCATCAGGCCCTCTCACAAGTCCCACCTTCTTAAAAAATTCATGAGCTCCATCCTGTTAGTAGGAAATGGTTGATGAGATATGGTACACCTACATTTCTTTAACCATAGCTGTAATGTACCATATTAAATTGTAGCCTTTTGCATGTGGGTGTTATGTAACATAATAATGAATGGGTGGCTTCTAATAGCATGCAACCCATAACTGATTATCTCCCCAAAAGGGCTGAGGCTATGTCCTGTACAACGTTCATAACCATTACATGTGTTCTTTGGAGCAACCTTGTACATGGCCATCAGCAGAACGAGTTAAAACTGACAATGAATTCAATATATCAGGAAATAAATGTTTAGTGAGGGAATTGCATTAAAGGAGGAAAAACAATAGGATGCATTCAAGTAATAATTGCTTTCACTCTGCTAGCTAAATCAGCAAAGGAACACAGCAGGAAAGCTGGGACTGGGTCTTGGTAATATATGAACTGTATTGGAGAACCAGAAAAAGAAAGGCACTGGGGACCTCAGCAGTTAAGCTCAAGTTGCCAATTTGCTGCAAATCCTTTTTTCCACCAGTCTGCTCAAAGTGATTGTATATAATATTCTTAAAACATGTGTCTTGCTGCAGAAATACTGGCAAATGCTGGCCAGTTTTATCTTCCTATGTCCTTTATTAAAAGTATATGCATAAAATTGTTGTTTCTTTTCTATATTATGGTCTTGTTAATCAATGTTATCAAAACCTAAAGTTTCAGACCACTCAAATGGAAGTTTCTATACATCTCATTTCATGGAGGTATAGTGAAGTTTATTCACTCTCAGGTTGATTGGTATGTGTGGTATTTAGACTCCTCTTTAACACCTCATCTTCTAAACACTGAACACTGAACGCCTCAACTCCCACGTGTTCAGTATTTCTCCCTTATATTCCTACATTAATATGAGTTTGGAAATTAGCAGCGATGGATTTCAGATAGAAATCTGACCAATCTAATGGCACCAAATCATGTTCAGTCTCTACTCAGCCTCACACATCTCGTGCCTTTCACTCTACCACTGTAATAAGTAAAAAGGGGGGGGAAGAACTTAATTGCCTCAGGGTAATGTGAACTCTAGCTTGCTGTTTGTTTTTTTTTTAAACTGAAACTATGTTTATTATCCTCCAGATGCATGTCACCTGAAAAAAAGAATACAATGGTTCTGAGAAAAGAACACAGTGGCCCACTTACTCCTAAAGCATACATTACACTCAGATAAATATTTGAAGAGACCCTCATTATGTAAGTCCCAGATAAGTTTTCCCTCAAAGGGTGTACATTTGCACAAAAAACCATTTTCAGACTGGAGAAAGCTCCTCAATTAGCCAACAAAAAAGGCAGAAGTCATTGAAAATGCAGAGCATTGAAAGCTGAAGTTTGGAATAGTCATTGCTGACTGACTAATAATGGAGAACTTAAATCACTTAGGAGAGGCCCAATCCATAGAGGTCAGACTTAACAAAAACACCAGAAATGAATCTTTTATTTGAGCTAAGCTTGTAAAAAAGCACTTACTTTGTCCTAGGTAAAGGCCCAAAATATTTCTGGTGAAAATCTCATTTCATTTATTCCAATATATCAGCTACAGTTTTAATTTACATCACAAACACAATAAAAAACTATCATATTACAAAGGACAACCAACTTCTTTCTAAATAAAAAAAAGCATAACAGAAAAACCATTTATACAAGATTCTTATTTGAGTAGTTTACCAAGAAAACCTAAGACATAGATGTTTAAAGGGGAACTTTAATTTATAGATATAAATTAAGATATATGTATAATGCTTTATATAAATGTATAAGCATATTGACGTGCATTTTCTTCATGTTATAAGCAACAGAACTTTTCAAATTTAATTTTCTCACCATATGCAGTGAGAGTGAGTAACTAATAAGCTTCTCTTTGAATATTAAAATATTCCCACACAGTAACATAATGTTTCGATGTTTAGACTTCCAACTCTAGAGGGGTGAAAACTTTGTGATAACAAAAAGTAAATTTTAAGCAAACTTTTAAAAGAAAGAATATGAATATGTTTATGATTTTGAAAGAAATTTTCCTCATAAACCTTAACTGAAGTAATCAAATCAATTTTGCAAATCAATGCAGACCCAGATCCTGACAATGGTGTCAAACTCTAAAATAAATCTAGCTGTAGCATATAAGAAGTTCAATGAAAATAAAACACAAGTCACTATACAGGGAAAGCAACAGCTATGCTATTGGAACATTAAAGAACGTAGGTTACCAATTAGTCAAAAATTACCATTGACCAATCTACTCCCATACCATACATAAATTACCCCGGGAAATTAGAAATCACTTATCAGAATAATGTGGTTCAGAAGGACCCAATACAAATGCAAATCTGAAGTTGCCTCTGAATCATAAAGGGTCTATATGTGGCAGGGCTACCATGTTCTGAGAGTTTGAGGGTCTTAAGAGATGCAAAAAAACCAAGGGGGAAATAACTCAAGATTAGAAAGGAAACTTTAACAACTTTAACTCGTTTTCTCTTTGTCATTTCTCCTAAATTTTGAGGACTTCTATTTTCTACCTACATATTTTCAATCTATAACAACTGCAGTTTTGTTGAGGGTAAAATTAATTTACCTCTTTTATATCTATCCTAGTACCTGAATGATCCAGAGACAAATTCAGACTTGTGTTTCTATCATTGCCTCAGTCTAATTATCTTAGCAGAACCACTTAGAACACCTTTTTCTAAACATTATTTTTAAATACTTTCATTTGTCATGAAGTTATGAAATTGTCTACTCTATTTACCTGAAAGTTTGGAAGCTTCAGTTCAGCCAAAAGCATGAGAAACAACTACATTCATGTAAATGTTTTCAAAGGGTGTAGAGACCACAGTCCTACTGATAAATTTTTTAGTGTACATATTATATGGAGTCTCTCTGATGCTACCCAATCTAGCTTTTTTTTTTTTTTTTTTTAGTTGGAGTCTCACTTGGTCGCCCAGACTGGAGTGCAGTGGCCGCTCCCGGCCACCCGCAGCCTCACCTGCTGGGATCCGGCGATCCTTCCACCTCAGCCTTCCGAGTAGCCGGAATTACAGGCGCGCGCTGCCACGCCCGGCTAATTTCTTGATTTATTGTAGAGATGAGGTCTCGCCAAGTTGCCCAGGCGGGTCTCGAACCCGCGGGTTCAGGCAATCCACTCACCTCAGCCTCCCAAAGGCACGGGATTACAGGCTGAGCCACCGAGCCCGG